GGCTATATCCCCCTCCTTTGGCGCCACCACTGCACTGGTTTTAACCATCCTTAAATAGGATTGCAATTCGGTTCTATAACTCTGCCGGAAACACATTTCATTCTTAGAATAACCATAAATACCTACCTACTTAACCTGGAGGTCTGACGACGCAACCACTGATATTGCACTAATGTCACGGGTCACGGGGAGGAGCAAGACGGCGGTGATCAAACTTCAATTAAAAATAAGACGCGCAAGGGCAAGTCGTCATATTAACGAGGTAATTTTGGATTTACAACCAACCTTCCTCAAAAGCAATAAGTAGAAAAATTTAACAGAATCTGGCTTAACAGGCCTTTGATAATTTCGCAGTGTCCGTATGTATATTTGATTTAGTTGGAAAGTTTGTTTATCCATTCAACTTATTCCATTAAGTAGATGAGAAACACCACACTTCAGTAATGCTTCGTCAAACGTTTCGGTGGAAATGGCCAATAACACTTTGCATGCAAGGGGTAATTTTGTATTGTTTGATTTACAGTTGTTTTGCGCGGTATACTCTTACAACACAACCATCGCGTGCTGCTGTTACTGAAGGAGAGACTGCATCAATAAAATGTGAATGGGAACCTGACTTGCTTCCCGGACACAATTTAAAATGGGTCTTTTTTAAAGGCCAAGTTGTTAAAACAGTAGAAGAAAGTTCCGATTCTAAATATATGTTGTCAAAAGAGTCAAAGTCCTCAACTCTGTTGATTCCAACGTTTAGCGTTCATGATACTGGTGGTTATAGGTGTGAAATCGGAGACAGTTCATCAATAAACTCATACTCAGACGTAACTCGAGTAAGTATGCTAACATGCAATCAAAAAACTGATGAGGGTGAGTTGGGGAGTAACTTAGAATGTTCTTTAACTTCTGATTTACCTAATCTACAGTGGTTTAAAAATGGGGAACCCTTCAGCGCAAAACAGCATTCATCAATATCGACAAATCCTCTGAGTAGAGAAGACGACGGTGTCGAGTTTACTTGCCGAGCCACGTTCGACAGTTTAGAAATAGGAAATTGCAAAACTACTCCATTAATATTAACAATAGACGCAAGGATTGAAAAAACCCCACCAGGACCGATTCAAGAGGGTGATAAATTTAACTTGACATGCTTAGTGAATGGCAATACCGATATATATTATGATTATCGTTGGATGTTTGAATCTAAAAGTGTAGATGCATTAACGATGAGAAGATTGGGAGACGAAAAAAATGTATTTACTTTTAAGGATGTAGTAAGCGATTACGATGGCAAAAATGTCACGTGTACCGTGATTTCTGCAAATCGCACCAAGGCTGTAGCATTTTTTATCATAGAATTGTCAACTACAACGATACCACCGAGTCTGAATACAAACCAATTACTTCAGTCTACCTCTCCAACTACTGATAGCTACCAAAGCCAGTCTATGTCTCTAACTACCATGGTAACTACCAAAACCAAAACGTGCCGATAACTACTATTGTGGTTGGTGTCATTGCAGTAATCGTCGTCATTTTCGCAACGATTTTAATAATTCATCTTTTAGCTATGAGGAGCAAAAAGCGGAATAAGAATGTGACAAAACAAGAAAGTGTTCCCTTAGAAGATTCATTGTATGATGCCAATAAAGAAAGACCTACAGTTTCTGAAAGCAGACATGGTTCGGATATAAACGCCGAAAACGACCCTATACGAGAACAGTTGATACCAGATTCAAATGTATATCATGAGCCTAGGGCTTTAAACTCCAGACATATGCCAACAGACGACAACAATGAACAGTTTGGCAGTAGTCAGGTTGTGATTTACGACAGGCCACGGAAGACCGTCAATCTTGATAATCCAGACGATCATTCAAAACAAAGGACGTCATTGAGCGTTGAAAACATGAGTGAACTATACGCAGAGCCTAACAAAACACTTAGAAGGGATTCCACAGATGCGTATGCCAAACCTAATAAGACGCCAAGTAGAGAAAGCATCGATGAACTTTATTCCAAGCCTAATAAATCGGCGACGAACACACAAAAGTCTTCATACAATGATCCGACCCAGATGAACGTAGAGGGTTTAACCTACTCGGATATTGAGTTTCAAAACGGCACGTTCCCGTCCCCAGAACCCAAGGACTATGGTCTCCAGTATGCATCCGTACAGTTTAATAACTGATGGATACGCCAAATTCCGATAGCACAACTCTTAAAGCGTCTGTCGTTAAGAATGATCCGTTATTCAACCCCTCTAAAAATATCAATAACACATCCCATAATATTTGTATCTTCTAATATAGTAATCGATTTTATTTTAAGATATATACTGTACTCCGAATTCGATCCAACTCGGCCACAAGTCAACTCGGCCACAGTCAACTCAACAATATTAATGTTGTTGTTGTTATTATCACATTTATTATCGTCATAATGACTAATTAGTATTATTAATGTAAATATTACTAATTTATTGTCGTTATTGTTGTTTAATATTATTATTGAAGTAGAATGTTGTGAGTAAACAGAAGACGAACACATTAATAAATAACTCTTTTTAATTCATAGGCAATAGCATTCAAATCTCTTTTGGTAGTGTGGTGGTCCTGTTTTACTAAAACATACTGTGTACTTTATTTCAATCATATATTGAAGAAAAAGGATGCAAACACTTAGATTTACATTAAATAACTTGTGGCCGAGTTGACTTGTGGCCGAGTTGACTGTGGCCGAGTTGACCTGCAACCTATATGTATGTGTATGTGTATGTATATATGTGTAAGTATATATGTGTATGTATATGTGTATATGTGTATATATATATATATGTGTATATGTGTATATGTGTATATATGTATATATGTATAGTTTAAGTCGTATGTAAAGGTACATATTAATAGTACCCTCACTTGGGTTTAATATTGCAATTGTTTATTTCTCTTTTCAGGTGCTATAGTGATTGCGGATAATGCTACATTCCATGGAAATATATCAACTAGAAATGTTACATTACATGGTCTAGTAAACAACGTAAACATCACAAAACTAAATGAAGATGCAGTTTCCCATGATTCTAATCTCACAGTTTACGGAAACAAAGTTTTTACTAGAAACACCTCTGGTAAATAATAATTTATAAGGAAACAGGTGCATATATAGGCCTCCGGATGAGGGTGGGAAGGTTTAAATGATCTTGTAAATAACTTTTTATGATTATAAACATATATAGTAAAAAGAAATCGCTCATGCCATGATAGATCATTTCTTCAACTCTACAGTAATTCTATTTATTATGGTCACTTTCAGTCGATGGTTGTGTGTTTGTCGAAGGTACAGTTAATGGCGTGGACATAGATCATTTGTACCATGAGGCTGTCACTTTGTCAGATGATGAAGTTATCAGAGGTATGCTATAATTACATAGTAACCCAGTTGTAAGTGGGAAGTGTACGAAAACTTTAATCAATATGCTAGAGGTGGGTTGTCAATTCATTGTGAATTTTCCTGTTAGTTTTGATGTTGGCGGATAATAACCCATGATGTTCTCAGAAGAAATAAATAATTGAATTTTGAAATTTTAGGATATAAAGGCCTAATATTAAAAAAAAATAATTGTGAAATATAGACATTATGTACCGCATACATAGATGAATTCTAATAGCATACTTAGCATCTACAGGTCAAAATAATTATATCATGGTATTTTTACAGCCGACCTGGAGTTTATATCTGACGTGAATTTTACCCACAACGTTTCAGTGATTGACACTGTCAATGGACTACATCTGTATGAATTTCTTGGAAATCTTGTGTTTACAGACACAAATGAAACCATTATTGGCACAAAAATATTTTTTAGGTAATAGAACAATATCTGTTCATTTTATTTAATTATGCCTTACACCTGCAGTTTAATATTGAAAATTCATTAGCACCAATATGAGCCCTGTGGTACATCTTAACTATTGAGAAGATTGTAACTTCACTTTCAACGATGCTTATAATAATATAAAAACAGACAAATGCATTATTATAATAATATATAATATATATATATAATATATATTATATATTATTATATTATTATATTATATTATATATATATATTCGTTTCAGGGCTATCTAGGAACCAACTGAAGTCTCCCCCATGTAGTGGGCTTATTTGCATAACTTTCCCATTCCCACAAGGGCCAATCAGAACGTGGCTTACAGCTGTCTAATTAATTGGGCTACCATCCCTCAGGGCTGTTCCAACAACTGGGGAGACATTTCGTTACAATATAATATATATATATATATTTATATATATTATTATTATATTATAATGTATATAATAATATATATTAACATAAGTCGTACGCCTTCTTAATAAGGCGTACGTACGGGTTATATAAGGCGTACGTACACCTGTAACCCATAAAGTGTACGTACGATTTACGTACGGGTTACATAAGGCGTACGTACGACTTCATAAAGCGCACGTACGGGTTAGGAAAATTAAAAAAAATTCACCATGTCCCTTAAACAGCTTCGTATAATGAAGTGTATCTTGCGTTGTTTGAATCTGTTTAACCATGCAGCCTCCATGGTCTAATGGTTATGACGCTTGCCTTGACAGCGAAAGGTCTCAGGTTCGAATCCCGTCAAAGGAATTTTATTACACAATTTCTTTATTCATTCATCTATTTATAGGACTACATTCGTTTAGAGCTATGCTACACGATGTATTATTATGGCCTTTATTTTAACACTGTATTTACCTTTCTTTGATGACTTATATGTAATTTATCAGTGTTAACGGCTATATATATATATATATATATATGTATATATATATATATATATGTATATATATATATGAATTTATTTCTTCAAGTTTGTAGCAATAAATGCATATGGAAACACCTTTTTCTGACTTGTTTGACTGCAATCCCAACATGTTTAGCTTTATACATACATACAATAATATAATAATAATAATAATAATAATAATAATAATAATAATATATACATATGTATGTATATATTTATTTCACTCCCAACAGGTTAATCTTTATATGTTTGTGTGCTTGAATGTATATATATATATATATATATATATACAATGTCTGCTTTGAAATACGGTATATATCATGTGATCATTATCTTTTCCCATCACTATTATAAGCGATATTTATAGTTTTATACTAGACGACAAACACATTTTTTCTTAATTTGATTTTATTCATAGTGATGTTGTGATTGACAGTAATCTTAATGTCACTGGACTACTTAATGAAGTTGATTTACGGGAACTAGATAGAAGCCATTTATCAAGACACGAAGACCAGGCAATTCCCGGAGAGCAGGAATTCCTCCAGAATGTTTCTGCAGGTGAGAAAATGTATTGTGATTTGCATTCAGAAATATATTGTCATCATTTAGAGGTGTGGGTGAAATGGTAATATTATTGTTGTTTCAGATGTATTAACTATTGGAGACGATGTTCTTATTGACGGTGTCAACATCTCAAAAGTTATCTTGATTGATAACGACAATGATATCGACGAGACTTTAGTGTTCTCAAACATTGTAATTGATGGTGACCTGAATGTTGGTGGTTACATAGGTGGATTCAATATCACTGAGGTAATTATTTAATTAATCGCAGGAAACACTATTGATATAACGAAAAACTGAACATATTTTTGTAGTTTTACCTCAATATGTGCCGGTTTTACATTGCAAATTAGAAAGAATAGCAATAATACTGTTTTTACATTGTAACTTGTAAAGAACAATCGCATTTAAAGAGGTCAGTACGAATTTCTAAAAACAGTGAGATAGCAGACTTAGATATGTTTTGTGTTCGTAATTGTGCATTTGGTCAGTCACATTTTTCTGTTTACACTTTACCTGTCATTAGCAAAATATAACGCGTAGAGTGGTGTTAAATAGCTTGGTGGTTAAGTTTGCCTTCAATCCAGGTTTTCTGGGTTCCTGAATGCCTATCAATATACAGCTTCATAATTAAGATTTGTTTATTTAGAGCATCTATATGTTTGTCCTGTGAAAGGGATAGAGTAACATGTATATAAAATAACATATCTTATTTATTATCAGCTGATTAGCTCAAATCCAAATGTCATTCGTAGTAGTTTGATTTTAAATAGAGAAGAATGGTAAATAGTGGAGGGGGTGGGATTGATATGATGTCCTTCCAAGTTTTGAAAGGTGGGGTGTTCGTCCTGTCCCCACCGATCGACACCCATGCTTAAGACAGTGACAAAGTTCGCTATTGCCCATATTGCTAAATAGACTGAACAAAAACACTTGCCAGTTGGACATGCCAGTGAATCGCGACGTTCAAAATTGTATTAGGTGTGTATCATAAAGTTGCATACGAGAATTGTAAATAAATTTACCATACCATCATAATGTCTGACATACTATAAGTACCAGTGATAGCAATCTATGATTAATGTAAGAGTTAAATTGAATATCAAAAATATAATACTGATAATTACCATACCTTTTATTTATTTAGTATGATGGAAAAGCTGTTCGTGTGACTGATTCGACTGTTTTTATTAGTGGTCTAAAAGAGTTATATAACATTACAGTATCTGGTGATTTGGACCTCATCGGTACTGTCAATGGAACATTTCTACCAGGTAGGATTTAAACAATTCATTTGCTTTAGTTTTGGTCTAAGATACACCAGGTGTTCTACTCGATGGCCATCACCATAATAGCTTAGTCTAGTTTGAAATACTTAATTATTTTGCTTAATACTATTAGCCCGTATCTGTGTCTTCCTCTGCTTTTGGTTATTTGCCCATTCTATTCTAGGCATTCGTTTTTTCCTTATGTCCGAAGTATTTACTATAAAAGAATTTTTCAATTTCTGTATTTTTTAGATATGTTTGATAATACATTTGGTAAAGAAAATCTAACTTTGGTATCGCCAGTGGTGTTTGAAGATTTCCTTATCATTGAAGAAAATGCATGGTTTAATGGGCTTGTCAACGGAGAAAACATTTCTTTCTTATTACAAGATGCGGTTCTTTATTCAGAAGCAGTCGTAGGCCAATTGACTTAATTTTTATTATTAAAATGATTATTCAGTAACAGTGTTTTAATCATTGTAAAGGTTTGCTAGATTCCTAGAAACATTTCTTTCTTATTACAAGATGCGGTTATATAATTCAGGAAGCCATTATATTTAATTTACGTCTGCTTTCTATTTTATTGAAATAAACAATATTTTCCTCTAAAATGAAAACTTCCTACCCTGGCCAAAGCTAAAAATTCATCTGTCATGAGAATCTTTCATATAAAAATGTAGGCCCTATTAATGTATACTAAAACGTAACTGGATACTTAGTACTTATGAGTTTGACAGGTAAATACAAATAGGTGATTCTTCATTTTATTTCCTTAACACATTTGTTAGGTGATAAGCGGAAACAAGATTATTACTGGGGATGTTGGAATTGACAATCTTGTCATCAGTGGAGATTTTAATGGGAATCTAATTTATGATAACTTGACGCTAAAGGAAATTTTAAACCATCTTGTTCTCCGGTCGGAAAATGCATCTATCCATGGAAGTGTTGTATTTGAACAAGATATTACAGTAAATGGCGATATTAGTGTTTTAGGTAGGTGTGATTATTAATTGGAATAAAAAAGATGGACGTTATGTTAAAACATCCACAGGGGTTTTAAAATGATGAAACAAGAAATATTGCAAAATATCAACTACTCTTTGCTAGAGCAGATACTTACGGTATCAAGTATTATTTTTCGTAAAATGTGTTCAGGGAAACAGTATAGAATAAATATGTTTTATTGTATTTTATAGGTTTTATTAATGAGTTTATCATACCAGACGATTTTGTTCTGCAAAATGCGACGCAGACTCTGGCAGGTGAAAACAACTTCATGGGTGGAATTACATTTGCCGCAAATGTAAGTGTTACAAATTTAGTGGACACGGCAGATCTGGACTATATTGCGGCAAATATGGTTACATTATCAACCGAACAGTTGATAACAGGAACGTGGACTTTAGCGACTGATGTCAGCGTAAGGGGTGAGTGATCGTAGCATAAATAATGTTAAGGTGTATAAACTTGTTATTGGTGAGGAGATACTTATCAAATTTATTAAAACCGTTTTGCTTTTTTATTGTTTTGTGAAAGTTGTATATTGTTTTTTGAATTATTAATTTTGTAGATTTTTATACATAATTAAATGTTTAAATGTTTCCTAATTGATAAAATTGTATTTGTGAATATTTCTAATTTTACATGTTTGATATATATTTTATTGCCTTTTAATTGTTAACACAAAACATTCATATTTTGCTGCTTTTTGTATTGTTTTTTTTCAAACCGAAATCAATAAAATATTGTTAAGGCCTACTTCTAATTTTTTTGGCACAATGGACTAGAAAACTTACTGTTTATGAATCAGTTGGTACTTTTATTATTCACTTGCAGGTCTGTAACCTATTTATATTTATAGAAATACAGTTTGCCCTAGAATTCCTGTGGTGTAGTCCTAAGGTTAGATCCCCAATTATAGGGTTAGTTTTCTGTTAAAATATTCAAAATTGTTAAAATTGCCTCTAATTAGAGAGGTCTTGAATTAGAGCGTGTGTACAGTAACTGTACTTACAATTTTTTTTTTAATTAAATGTTAAAATCATAGGTAGCACGTCTGTTACTGGTCTTATCAATGGATTCAACATACATACTGACATAGTGACAACTTTTGGAGAACAAACCATTTATGGTAGCAAGACATTTACAGGCGATCTGGATGTCCTGAACGACATGTTTACTACAAGTGGCAATATTAACAAACTTCCTCCAAAATGGTTCCATGAACACGTAGTAGTGGAACATGTAGCTAGTCAAATTTATGGCCATAAGGTAAGCACATGATATAATGTTTGGCTTTAGAATTTTGTTTTCAAACAAACGAAATGAAAAACAAATCAACATTTAATAATAATAATTTGTAATAGTACAGCAGCAGTAATAATGGTATTATTATTATTAATAGTATGAATAATAGTATTATTAAGAATAGTATTAATAATTAATACAAGTAATAATAATACTAGCAGTACTTAGTAGTAGTACTAAATGTGATAAAAATGTGATAATAGTAATAATAATTTAATAATAATGTAATAATAAAAAGTAAATAATAATAATAATAATAATAATATTTATAATAACAATAACAATAACAATAACAATAATAATAATATCTCTGGGATAGCCCTTGATTGGCTCCAGTCTTACATTTCTTATTTGACAATCTTTTTGTTTTCTTTTCATTTTCCTTTGTTTGTGTTGCTTTTCTTTTTGCACTACAACTATCACTGGATTTAGGCAATCTGCAAGATGTATAACAGCATTCTAATGGCATTGGGAGCATTTCAGGTCGCGCTGAAATTATTGATATACATAGGAACTGTCCTACCACCTATGATTGCAGATAATTTATTCAAAAATATTAGGATATTACTGTATCACATATACTTAATTTACAGGTATTTACAGATGAGGTGTATTTTGCTAAAAATGTTACAGTACTGGGATACGTTCTGGGTGTTGATTTGTCAGAGATGATGAATAATTTCGAATTACATATGGAGAAGGTCGAACACGAGCTCAGATTGATCAACGAGTCACTAAGTCGTCAATGTCGACCAATATATTTGCTTGAGGAGGCATATAAAGAATGTAGGCTTAATCATTATTTATTAATTATAGTATAAGCTTTTGATTTAAGAAACGAAGCACTTTTATCTTTTTATTTAGCTTTTATCTTCGAGACTTTATTTTATAGAGCGCTTTAAAAATGCTTATTATTATTATTATTATTATTATTATTATTATTATTGTTGTTGTCGTTGTTGTCGTTGTTGTTATTGTTGTTGTTATTATTGTTATTGTTATTATTATTATTATTGTATATGTATTATATTGTACATGTATTATATTGTATGTGTTACATGTATTTAGTGTGAAAAATTTCAATGTGCACCTGATTTGGTATTGCCTCTTGTCTTGTCTTGTAAAAAAAAAGGTCAAGCTGTACAGTTAAGTCACTTTGAAGACTATCAAACCATTAATAGAACCAACGTTGCAAGAATTGCTGTATTACCTTATGAAGACACCTTGTTATTAAGTCTCGTCGACAACCAATTGTCTCATCACTGCTTGGAGTCTTCAGTCTACATGTACAACGCTGATGAAAACGATTATTTTAAGGTAAGTCAAATTTAAAGTTATACCAATTTTGATTGAAATATAAACTAGTGCAGTCACTCCATGGAGTACATAACTCTGCCTACCCCTGCTGGAATACGCAGGACGTGTATGATGGACGATTCCATTATTTTTTATCCTGTGCCTGAATAACGAACAATAGGCATGGCATGTATGGTACGATTCTATTATTTTCTAAGCACAGGGGTTAAAAAAAAAATTCCGGCCGTGATTATAATTTCTCTTCCAAAAATGTAATCACTCTTTTTTCAGATTATGTACAATTCCGCTAAATTTTGTGGTGATCCAGCTTTCGCCACTCCCAGTGTTGGCACTTTTTCAAGCCTTCCTGGAAAACTGGCACACTCGAGGACTCGTTTAACATCTAATTGAATGAGTCCACTTAGCCTTCTACAGACCATCTTATAGTTCTCTGATAATTGAAGTACTGACCTGCTTCGATGCACAGCATCTCGTAAATTCCACTTTGTGCCGTTGTTCTGGCCGTCGAGAAGAATGTCTGTGAAGTGTTTACTGTTTTGTGTACAAGAAGCATTAATTTTTAAGAGCGATGCAAATCATTTGCTGGTTGTGCGAGAGAAATCAAATAGAATAAACAATATTTTATAGAAATATCAATATTTTTTCTAAATGTTTCATGGCAACAGCCAATGTCCTTGTTGCTTTTACGTCAGTTATCACGTTGCTTCCATTGCTTCCCTTAACACTCATTGATTTTTAAAAATTTTTAGATCAATTTACGGAAATATAATCTACATTTTATCATAAATCTTCTTATGACGGACGCATTGATATTAAATGCACAGTATCTGACAACCGATTTTCTATATATAAATATATTCCATTGCTTTCCATTGCCACCAAAAATAAAATATAATCATTTGATCAACAGGTTAATGACTTGATTGCATCTACAAGTGCGAAAATGTACTCATTCAGTTATCCAAATCAAACATTCGTGGTTTTACCTGGAAGTGTTCAATCCGCTTATTGTCCCGAAGGAATAGACTATAACGGAATTACACGTGTGTACCGGATAGATGAATATCGTTTCATAGCCAATATATCATCAGAAACACCAGTTGATACAGATATGATTGACATAGATGGTGATATATATTTGTCAATTGCAAATTCAGAAGACACTCTTACAGGTATCATTTCTAATGTTTTATTACGGGTTTGGCTAGAGAGGCAGAATTTTAAAGAAAAAAAGAAGGGCGCACTAAAGATCCTTAAAAAAACTCAGTCACATTAATTTCTTTTTGTCAGGTTCAAGTATTGTATCGTCAGCCCTATATCGATATGCTACGTTCGACGAGGAATTTGTTATCCATCAGACTTTTGAAACAAAAGGTGCTTCAACTACGCTTTTTATAAAGCACGGCGATAACGATCCATGGCTAGTTTATGCAAATAAATATGATAGTGAGTTGGATTCTGGTTCTACAACTACTGATATATACCAATGGAATTCTACTGAATCTAAGGTATTTGATCCTGATTGAATTACATGAAAATTATATTTAAACATGTTCAATATTATGCTAATAAATTGTATAATTTATATTCTATGTTTTATTACGATCCATTCACCCCTATCCGTATCGCAGGCTCTTCGGCTTCTCATTTTCATGTTTAGGGAGTATTTTTGTAGTTTGGGTGTCTTTGCTGTGCACTCATTTTGGAACATATACGATTTTCAATTTAAATGGGCATGATTCAGTTTCAGATTCAGCATCAAATAGCTGGTGAATGTATAGTATCCGTAGTTAGCATAGTTGTAGATGATGAACCGTGTGTAGTAGCCGCCTCGGAGAGGAGCAGTGATGATTTTAGTAACTACTATATGCCGGTAACAACGGTCTGTCACGAAAATGGACTGTGGACTGTAAAGAATACGTTAGAAGGAGAAGGTGTTATAGGACTGGATGAGTTCAGCATAGATGGTAAGTCAATAAGTGTACTTTCTTCTACATGCGCCATATAACCAACGACCAACAAATTGTAATTTTATAAAAACAGATCCGATTAATACTATTTCAACCCTATACGGTTTAGTGGCCATTTTGAAAAAGCGCCTTTACTGGTTAACCCACTATTAAACGACGGAGAGAATTTCGAGTTTTGGGTTATAGCCTTTTTCCTAACGTCAATTCCAAGTACTGTCTTTATTCATGGCCGACACTTACTTATTTGCGTACTTTCTACAGGAACTCCATATCTTGTCGTCGTCAGCCGGTTCCATAAAATATTAGTGTATAGCTGGTGTGGGATTAGTGGCTTTGAGTTGCAACTCACTATTCCATACAGTAACGTCAACAGCGTCTACATGTTCGAATACCAGAGTAATCTGCTCATGGGTGTAACCCGTACAATAGTGAATGAAATTGCGGATCAACTAGATGAACCTCAAATTCTTAAAGGCATTATTAATGGTATGAAACATTTAGATTTTTTTAAATTAAAATTGCAAATGTCTTCGCCTCAAATATTAGTTTGTATAAATGTAATAATTAGGCGAAAATTAATTGAAATGTCTATATAAACCAAATGAATTGCATTTGCTTACTGTATATATTATAGTATAAAGTAAAAGTATAGCCTAAATATTAATTTAGGCTATGTATATTTAAGGTACCGTCAATCTGCAACGAATTCATTTTCGTATACAATTCACATTTACCTAACAGTAGTTTATTACGATATCTCATGTGTATCCCCTTTCTACTATGTATTACCGTACTATAATACCATTGTAAATTTATATCAAACAATATAGTGATTTACAAGGCTTATCTATTCGCGGTTTAGCGCCCCAACGTGGTAGGACAGCTCTTCTTAACGGGAGGTCTTGCTACCTTGCTCCATATACACACATAATACATATAGTATTTTGGCCCTTGAGTTTGGAAGTAGTTTTATTTAATAATGTAGAGACAATATTAAACTATTGGATTTATAATTTATTTCTAGGTTTAAAAGAAGACACTGTGATTGAAGCGTGATGGCATCGTCAAAAAACAATGAATAAACAAGTCGAGGCATTTCGATTTTTGTAATTGCACATTTATTAACTAATGCATAAATATTATCTACAATTGTTCTATCGGAAATTTGTATTTTCAATTCCAGCGAATCCTAATAACGTGTGTCATCCTACTGATACAGACGATACCTGTGTTATTAGCATACTAGAATATAATGATTGACAATAGAATAGACGGATGTATATATTTGAATTATATGTATATAATGTTTAAGGAAGACACTGTTATTGAAGTCTTGACTGCTGCGGGATGGCATCGTAAAAACAATTTGAAATAAACTGAAGAATTTCGGTTTGTGTAATTGCACATTTATTAGGTAGTGTATGAGTTTTGGGCGAATATTTTCTACATATTTCTACTGCATTTTAAATTCAAACGAATCGTAATTATTTGCGGTCTTCCTATAAAACCAATAGTGACTGTAAATGCACATTTTACTGTCATACTACAATATAATTAATAATAAATATGGATATATATATATATATTATTTAAATTGCTTGTGTGAAAGCTAAAACACGTCAAATCAACAGTGCAAACACTCCACATTTGAACCACCACGTAGGCAATTCAATGTAAATGCTGTAAACTAATTTTAATAATTAATTAAAATAAGCAAACTTAAGCTTACGGGCAGCAGCTGAAAGCCTGCGATTTTAAATTTGAAATGTTGATTTACGAATTTGTATTCAACAATTTGAAGGCGCATATTAGGCATTTGTCATTTAATATGTTGGAAATTCGAAGCAAACCTCAAGCTCACGGGCAGCAGCTTGAAGTTAGTGCTTTTAAATGTTGATTTTCGAATTGTATTAAACAATTCTAATGTGTCAAATTAGGTATTTGTCATGTAAGAAAATTCGAAGCAAATCTTTAGGCTTACTGGCAACAGCGAAGTCTTAAATCTAAATGTACATTTACGAACAGTATCATTACCATCAATTCTATTGTGTCGGTATTTATCATTAGTTCTCTTTGAGTAATTTGTTGAAATCCAATGATTTAAAAGCTCTTTTGATGAACACGTACTGTTCTTACTGATTACCTGAAAAGGGGAAAAATAGGAAAATCACTAAAAAAAACTTCACAACAAAACAACAGAATATAGAAAACTAGACTACACAATCTAACACTATAACACTGCTTTAGTACCGTAAATGGAATACCTGTGATATAATCCGTCAGACAAATTTAAACCATACATTATAAGTAACTTACTTTTGATAACAAGTGTAGCCTTGCAAAAAGCAATTCCAGCACTGTTTTCTGCTCCACATATGTAGTTTCCAGAATCTGCTTCTTCAGCTTTGGTAATTTGCAAACTAACGATCTCCACTCCCTGTGCAAACTGATATCGACGGCTGTCCTTTAATTCCTCTCCGTTCTTAAACCTAAAATGTCAGAATTATAATACTTAACTAAATTGGTGATGTGTGTGAATATAGGGAAAATGTGTAAGTACCAATTGAAACTGTCCATTGGAATTTTATGGTATTTAAGGTTATGTCAACAGCATTTGAATCCTAATATTATGGTTGGTATCAACAAGGACAAGCATTTTCGATCATTTTTGGCAACTGAATTCGAATTAACCATGATTAACAACATCTTGTTTAGCAGAAAGGATTCTACAATTATTCCGTTTTCTCACAAACCACAATATAGTATGATACAATATATGCCGAGTTTACCCTGCTTACTGCAAATTCAGAATTTTCAGAACAATTCAGTGTGTCCTAAATAAAAAAAGGTGAAATCCAAAAGTTTTGTCTCACACCAAGTCAATAACAAAAACGTAAACACGTTTAGTACTCGTATATTATTTGTAAGGTTGCACACGTCTGCCAATATGTACCAGAGAAACAACAGAATGACATACCACTTCACGTTTGGTACTGGTGTTCCCTTGACGACACAGTCGAACCTCGTCTCCTGGCCTTGTATAGCTTCGGTATTGCATATCTGGCGTTCAAAGTAAGGCTTAACCCACTTCTGTCGTTTCGCTATTTCTTCTTCTGTAAAGAATATAGTTCAACTCAATCTTAACCCAATTTTATACGACTAGTATTCTAAAAGTTATTCCAAAGACCTGGTTTAATCGGATGTTGGGATTGAGAGGACCAAACAAGTTTAAAATCGTATATTGTTTACTCTCTGCTAAGAAAGTTACAAAATTGTTATAACCATCTCAATAATAATATCCACAACATGTAATAATAGGCCTACGTGGCACGAATAATTAGATGAATGTGACAACTGTAGTTTTCCTTATGTTATCAATTTTCATGGTAGGAAAAAAAATTGCATACAAGAAATCAAATGTAATTCAGGTGTAGCCAGCAGAAACTTCACCTATGTGAATAACAGTCATAGATAAACCTACTCCTGAGTATGGGACCGAGTATATCTTACACTGAGTTTTGAACCGGCTAACCGGGTATACAAATACTCTTAATATAATACTATTACCGTGTTTTCGGGAGTACAAGTCGATATTTTGGAAGAAAATTTCAATGGCGGATTTTTTTTTTTTGGGGGGGGGGGGGGGGTGGAATATTAAACAAGCATCAGTTTCACGAAGCTGATGCTTATTTAATATTCTGTTAACTTAAATTTGCTGGTTGTGTAAGCTAGATGTTTTCTGTCCTTGTTATTCACCCTGGGATAAGATTTCGACTTGCAACCAACAGCGCGATGTTTCGGTTTCTATACAGACAACAGCGCTATACATGCGCGCGAGCGGAAAACTATTATCGTCAGATCGTTCAAAGTTTAATTTAATTTTAGTTTAGCTCTTATCAGTGGTGACGGAGGGGCTAAAGGCTAAGGGGCCTATCTGATGGGCCAAATGTAGCTAGGCCTAGGCCCCTAGAATTTGTAGTAGAGGCCTTTTGGTTGGTCCAACTCCCTGGTCCAACAAGCTCTGATGATTGTCGCCGTTTTTTGGGGCTAAATTTTTTGACGTATACATTCACTTGCAGTATACAACCCAATTTCGCAATCTAAATTTTCTTCCAAAATATAGACTTATTACTCTGGAAAATACGGTAATAAATACGGGAAATGCTTACACTTCTACACACTGTTTTGATCTCTATACTGTACATGGATGGCCTTATTCATGAGATATTTTTGCATAACCTCAAGTGAGTCATGTTTAGCAAATATATTTACTAGTTTATGTGTTTACAAAGTCAACTTAATAATAAAAATAATAAATAATTATAATAATAACGCTGACAATAAGGTGTAACAAAACAGAGCTAGGTCTCAAATGGTCAACCATCCGCATCTGCCCTGGCGCAATACCGGTCCCCTACCTAGGTGGCGCGAACAAAGGAGCAGAACCTCTCACGTTTTGGATGTCGACGACGACTAGGTTTATATTTTTGTTCAATATAAAAAAAAAACGCATAGTTAAAAGGAATAATATGCAGGCAAAAATATGTATGATTTAATGATACACATTTTTATAGTACGGCTGCGATATTCGTACCTGTTGGGTCTTTTGTCACCACTGATTTCGATGATTTACTAACGGCACTACACCCATTTACGTTGACTGCTTTAACTCGAAAGTTGTATTCAGTATCTGGCTGGAGATCGGTTACATTGTAAACTGTCGTATTAACCTCTGCTATATCAATCCAAGTTGAATTCTTGCAAGCCTCAATCTTTCAAAAAACGTGAGAAAAAGTATTGGAATTCTTTTTATTGTATTTTGTATTGTGCAATTTTGGTAAACTATATCTTTAAAGAAAACTGATTGATACAATTTCATACCTTGTAAGATGTTATTTCACTTCCACCGTCGGACGTTGGTTCATACCAGGCAAGTGTGAGATAACTGTTTGTGATATTTGATACATGGGGCTCACCAACTGGATGTTCTGGCACGCTTCCATTCGTTTTTCTAAAATGAAAAAAAATATATACCTTATAAGCATACAAGTTAATATACGGTACTGATTTATTGAAGAGATTAGTGCCAAGTTGAGTTGACTTGTGAGCATAGAACCAGTCTGACAGGACAGACAGTCGGACAGCCTGGACATCCGTGCAGATACAATAATAGTGTTTAAACATGCAATTGATACAGTTTAGGCATGTGTCTATTCCGAAATAAAGACTGTGCATACACTTCAGAACAGAAGTATTCATATAAATCAGCTGTACTACCCAGTAAATAACGAATGCAAGTAATGCGAGTGCATCTTTCAATATAGTACCATTTGTGGAATATTTTATTTTAGCACACGTGAGTTGTGCACCAAATTATTGCACTGTGTTTAAATATCCTTGTGTTTGGGGTTCTGGTGCTGGTGAAGAGTGAGCTTGAATTTTTAAAATTGATAACCTGTCTCTACAAGATTCCACTTCTAACTTCTCATCAGTCGCCGAATTGCCATTCTCCTCGCCTTCATCGCTGTCGTAATCATCATCACTATCAGATACTTCATTGTGCTTGACTGGTGAGCTTCCAATATGTTGAAGCCAAGGCGGCAATGCTTTGTATTTTACGTCTTCCAATTTCCCTTTGTATCGTTTTTTATAAGATGTGTACAACATGGGTTGCTTTATGTCTGTTGTCTCAATTGGGTCAGGTGAATGTCTTGTATTTTTATTTTTGAAGTCCCCATGGATATCTGGTGTACTTGGAGAAAGTCCTAAGCTACTCTCTAAAGTCGGTGTAAGATTGCCTGATTTATCTGGTTTCTGTCTTTCGATTGGTCTGCTTACTTGGTCATCACAATTAACGCGAGGGTGATTGCTATTTATATCCAATTTAATATCATGGTGTATATTTTGAGACAGTTCTTCTGTGGTGATAGTGAATGATAAAATTTCAGGTTTAGATTTCATTACTGATGGTTCATCATGTGCTGCTTTCGTTTTTCGATTAAGCTCCGTAGAATCACTTAGCCATGACGGAATCCGAACCCTGGATTTTCCAACTTTACCCAAGCTTCCACCTTTGGTAGACTCTTCCATTTCTTCTCTTTTGTTCTGTTGATCTGATATCACATTCGTATTTGCGATGTCACATATGCCCTGGCTATAGGCTTCGTTGATATTATCGCCACGAGAACTAATTGGCATGTTTTGTATGTCTACATTTTCACATTTGTCATCCGACTCATTATCAATTTGTACATGTGTACTATTAATAATAATATTATCTAGTTCAATCGATTCGACACCAAATGACTTTGGCAAGGGTTTCACTGCTTCAATATTGTTAGTTGTATCAATTGGTTGTAAGCTATGGAATTAATTATAATAGTTAAAACAAAATAATAAGAAGGTTCACAATACTCTGTAATTGGGCCTATCAGAAATGCTTTTACAGTATTTGATTACATCTGGTACCCACAATATTTCAATAGGCATTTTTTCCCTTTTCCATAATTTGCTTAAATACAATTTTCTAGGACGGCACTCTCAATATTCGACTTATAGCTGTAGTGCCTTTTTAAGTTAATTGCTATCATCTTATCTCCGTCAATTACTTTAGACTACTTCGTTATAGGAGACCTATATTTATATTTCAACTGAAGTTATTTCATGCCAATCACAAAGAAACTTACTTTGACTGTCGGACGCCCTCATTGTCAGCCTCATCAGAAGCAACTGTAAGTTCAAATTCTGCCTCTACGTCACCTTCACCGTTGCTAGCTTTACATGTATATATTCCACTATCTGTAGCCACTGATGACGGAATTTCGAAGGTATGCACAAATTTCTCGTCAGTAAACTTAAATCGTTGATTTTCTCTTAGTGGTGTATCATCATTCTTTTTATACCAACTCACTGAAAGAATAACGCACACGAAGATGATGATAATAACAATGTAGACAAAGAAAATGAGGGATGAGGAGGAAGATGATACGTAACTAATGACTATAGAAAATAGTCATAATGATCTAAATCAAACCAAAGCTAACAGATTCACAGGAAGCTTTGTACGAGGATGGAGAATTGAATAGGAAAGTCATAGAAAGGCTAAGAGAGCATGAAATGAGTAGAGGAGCCTTATTGGTGTAATACACGACAGACGGATGACGATGAAGCTAAAAGCACATATCTACAAGGCCATGATAATTAGACTGCAATTCTCAGTGGGACAGAGACGTGGGAAGCAAAAGGAGAGCATATAAAGAAGCTGGAAGTAACGATTCGACAAGACGAAGATATACGGCAGGAAGTAGAAGTTGTGTAAGATGGGCAGCGGAGCACGTATAAATGGGCAACAGAAAGAGAGGACGTCCTAGAAATCGATGGATGGATCGTGTCCAAGATGACGGTAGAGTGGTAGATCTGAGCAGAGTTGGTGACAAATGATGGTATAGATCGGTGTCGAGACTACCCGAACCCCTTGAAGAAACAAACGGGATGATGATGATGGTGATCTTCAAAGAGACATTAAAACTTATTCTAGTAAAAAAAAAAAAAATAGACCTACATGTAGGAAGAGGGTCTCCGTCTACATCACAAGAGAATATTGCACTTGATCCTTCTGCAACAACGATGGATTTTGGTTTTTCGAAGAACTCTGGCGGAACAGTATCTTCCTCGATTGTCGCAGGTTGATCCGTACTCAAGCTGATGTCTTGACTTACGCTGACACTTGGAACTTCTGTGAGATCACAATGTACAAAAACCAAAAGATTTAGTCATTTATTGTCTAGATAAATTAAATTTTCCTGACTTTCATTCAGATGACATTTACTCTCATACTAGGAAAACAATTATATATACCAATAATGATTTACCCTGTGCAATAATGACGGCACTGGATTCTGCTTCACCATGGTCATTCAGTGCTTCACATGTGTATTTACCAGCATGTTCCGGTAGTATCTCAATAATTTCAAGTTGGTATACTTTTCCTTTGGAAATATATTTGAAATTACCACCATCTGGAATATCTTTACCGTCACGAAGCCATCCAACGTCCATCGGCTGAGCACCTGCAAATACAATTATGTAATATTTATAAATTGTACGCTTATTATTCATTGTTCTTTAAAAGAATTGTACAAATCCACATCCACTCATTCGTTTCACGAAGCCAAACTGGGTATTGGCTTTGACCTTTTCAACATGTCTACGTGTGTCACTTGGTGCCACTGTCATCGATGCTGGCATCAGTATTTTTTTCTCCTCTGCGGATATATGCCTGTATCGATTTTAGGGTGTATGTGGTACCGCCTGGCTGTGTTGGATGGAATTTTTTCAATCACTTCACCGGATCTGCAATAATATATACAGTATTTGCTGTATATATTATTGCAATCCGATGAAGTGATTGTATTTGCTATATGGTATAACTTAATTGCAATAATATTTAAATGTTGTAAAGTGGAATATCGACAGAGGTGCTCTGTACGTAATGTATACCTTGTATACAGCGGCGTATCTAGGCGAGAACGGCCTCTAGTGCAATATTAATTTACGGACCATTTGATATGACGCAAACGGGGCTGTAGGCCTGAGTCATGACTGGGGCCTGGGAGCCACCAAAAGCCCCCAATGTTGTCCAGGGACATGGGTGGGTAAGGGAAGCCATTTGAAACTGTTTAAATGTTAACGAGCCGTTTGATTTTAAAGAATAACAACTTCAGGACAAATTCACGTAATTAAATTCATCATAATAAATGCTTATTAATTTTCCTCCAACCCATAAGTTGGAAATTATTTTTAATTATTATTTTTAGACCTGTTAATGAACGGGTCCCTAATAGCCCTGGGCCCAGTGCTTTGTACTGGCTGCACTGCCCTTCTCTACGCCACTGCTTGTGCTGTATATAACAATCAAGACCTGTATCCTTTCTTTTTCGCTCTTTGTCGATATGTACTGTTTATTATGTTTATGATAAAAGCTCAATAAATACATTTCAAAGACAATGGAATTCAGTCTTGCCTAATGGTACTAATTAAGTCCTTACCATCAATTTCCACTTCAAGAACCAACATATCTCCTTCATAAACAGAAACATCTCTAAGCTTTTGAATGAAAACCGGGGGTCCAGTGCCTTCTTTCTCATCTATCTCGCGATCAACTAGAATACGCCCATCACTCGTCTTTTCATCATCACCTGATTTTCTTAACCTCGACCTGCGATCCAGACTAGTGTCTGGAGATTCTGATCGAGAATAGCCAGCTGTAAGGTATCGATCATATCCGGTCCGAGAGCTGCTGGAATACCGGGATGTACTGAAACCAGAGCTGACGGCATAACCTCCAGGAGCATCTGGTGAAGAATATCTTATGCGCTGTTGTCTCCTTGACTCGTAGCCAGTTGCCAGTGATTGAGAGAATCTAGAAGATTTCCGTGGTGATCTCCTCTCGCGTTGTGTTTTTTCAGATCTAGATCGTCGGTGATGCGATTGACGTCGGCCATAATCGTCATCTCTGTCAAACTCACTCCCTTTGATGTTCGCTTCAGCTATAAACAAATTATTGTAAAAATAATAGGATGTGTATTTTTAGTGATCCAATTTAAATAATTTCCGGAATAAAAGTTTTGAAAAACAATTACTGTTGCTTACTTACAATAGATCACAACTTTGAACTGTCTATTGAATTCCTAGACAATGAATTGAATGATATAAAATGATTTATTAACGTACCTTTAACAATGGCAAGTTCAGCAGCACACGATACAGCTCCTGCCGGCGAAGATGCAAGTAAAGTATATCGGCCAGCATCACTTGGTGCAACGTTAACTACCGATAGTGAATAGGCACCGCCCAAATATTTTTCGATTAAGATACGGCTAGAGGGGTAGATTGTGTCACCATCTTTAGACCTGAAACACAGACAATCAATTTCAAGTCATGTGTGTCACACGTAGTTAGAATAATGAAATAGTTTTGCTAGTCTCTTGTGACCGCACCACCGACTGTGAGTGAGTGCCACCGATACAAAGGTGTGGTGTCACACCATATAATATATATAAATAAGGCATGGAAAATATTTAAAAACGTTTACAGAGCAAAGTACTAAACATTTGCAACAACAAACCTTAAGTGGCCAATCGCTTTTGTTTTAAAAATATATGATATAAATTTTTAAAAATAGAATAAATAAATTTACGTATATCGAAATGTCCACTGATTAATCTCAGATAAGCCCGACACGATGGCGTGCATTTCGATACTTGGAGTATGTATTATACTATATTTTCACGTGTATACGGTAGGCTACATATTTATTTAAATTCTTACCATGTAAGCTCTGGTTCAGGTTTTCCTGTGACCATGATTTCAAATCGAGCAGTCTTGCCTTCCTCTAAGTATATCGATCGGAGAGGTTTTAAGAACGAAGGCCTGGTGTAGTGCAATCTCTCATCAGGTGGGAAATCTAAAATAAAAGCATGATTATTAACATAAAAAATGAGTCAAATTAAATTTTAATAAACGAAAACAATTCTTAGAAGTATTCACATGTACGAATAATGCTAAATGAAAACAAAAACATTTACCATGTTTCAGTATTATTTATGAATATAATACACAGCATCAGTGTTTATATGTCTGTCAACACCAAGTAGTCGGATTTACAACAGCTGTATTTTTATAGTGTCATCCATATTCAGATTGAATAGACAGATTTTACAAGGCCCTAATATATTTATCTTTGCTTTTGTGAATTAGAGATTGTGTTTCCAGGGAAATAGAATAAAGGCTCCGGCTACTATTATATTAGCCATATTAGCCTATTCGATAATTGATGAAGAGGCACCACTCTGAGACTGAAACTTTGCTGAATTACCAGCATTTAATTTGCCTCTCATTGCATTTACCTCAAGCGACACACAATACACAACTTTATTGACATTTGTGTACCGACGGCTAAACTTTGGTAAAACTTGAGCAAAAACATTTTTTCTACAACAGTAAGTACATTTGATACATTTGTTTTCAAATGTTGATTTGAATGGCAAAATAATATAGGCCCTTGAGGTTGGAAATAGTTATATTATGTGGATCTATATTAAGTACTATATTCCCTATTTGTATATAAACACCATAATTAATAATGACTTTAATGGTTAAATTAATATGTTATTTAATTTTTTTTAAAATAAAATAGTACGCTATAGTAAGTAATCCACATTGATTCAGTTACTTGAACAACGCTATCAACCGTATTCCATGAATTACCGGCACCTTTCAAAATATAGAATATAATAATTTATGATCATAGAATATTTTACAATTTACTTACTTTCCTCAACAACAAGTTCACAAGTTGTAAATTCTTCTCCCTCAGCATTGCGTGCAATGCAGCGATAGGTACCTGTGTCAGACTGTTGAGCATTTGCTATCTCCAACGAACATGTACCTCCCTTGTTAGCCATATTGTACGCTTTTCCATCTCGAATCTCACGCCCATTTTTAGTCCAGCTGACAGTTGCTTCTGGTATTCCTTGGACAGTACAAACCAAGACTGCAGTTTGCCCTTCCACTATGGTCTTTCGGCGAAGAGGAAGGCTAAAGAATGGTGCTGTAGTTAAGCGTTTTCGTCGCCTTTGAATCACCTTCGGCAGATCTTCAATACTCGGTTCTCTAAAAATATTACATCATAATGTGATAATAGAAGAACTTAATTCCCTAACATCATTTATGAAATATTTATTCTTAGCTGTGTATTTACGTAGAGTGGTAGGTTTTCTCGCTATAAAGCTGATGTGCTTCTTTATATAGGAAAATGATTGATGAACTTACCTTGGCAACGGTGAGCCAGAATCGGTAATACCACCCAGGCCTGTATAAAAATAAGAACGAATTGGTGAGTGATCATAATCAGGCATACGACTACGCTTAGTATTGTCATGGGTGTCCTGTAACCAATATGCTAGTAAATACCGGTCAATGAGACTGTGAATCTCCCTTGATTTTTCTTGTTTAGGCAGAATCAGATCATAAGACGGCATATGACGTCTATTGCTTTTCTTTCTGTTTAATTGAACTGAGCTAATCGGGATATTTTTTCTGGGACTTATAGAACGGGTCGTGTGGATTTGCACAGGAATGTAAACTTCATTTCCGAATCTAACACTCTGTTCACTTAAGGTCGGCTGAGAGTAAAATGCTTTTCGGCCATAGCTTGTTGCTGAAGGCTCAGCTAGCTTTATCGGCTTTTTAACCGCACTTCTTCGTTTCTGTGAAGTGTATCCAGGCGCATATCGCTCTAGGATAGCATCAAGCGGCTCTTCTATGAACTCTTCTACTTTGGCTGGTGGAAGATCCCATTCCTCTACTTCTTCAGTGTCTGACACACACGGTGACGTGTTGATCTCGTACATATGGTCGGTGTCTGACCCATATGGTGACCAGTTGATCTCGTATATATGATCAAGCTCTGGAAGTTTTGGTCCGGGACTTTTGTACTTATAACCTGACGACCTCTTTCCATATCTGGTTGGACATTTTAGCTTAGTATCCGAGAAAGTAATTGCCTTTCGCTTAGGCGTATACTCAACAGCACTAGCGCTAATACTATGCTTCCTAGGTTTCACTATAGACACTTTACTTGGACGGATTTGAAAATCATCATGATACTCATAATCACCATCAACGCCAAGGTATGTCCTCATAATAATCTTGATTGAATCGCTCCTTCTTAATCGGCGCAGAGATTTTCTGCTGCGATTTCCAGATACCTTAGTTGGTGAAGCAAAGCTTCGATATTTATCAGTAAAATCCATGACACGTCTTCGTCTTATGCAGGCCTGGGTGAATATGAATGTTGACTCGTAGCTGCGCTCAAGTCATTATTGAGCCATACCACAGACTTCAGTTATGGACATACTTGAGCTATGATTAGATTTATAGCGTCGTCGTAAGATGGCATTCCAAGACACTCGATCCGCTGGTGCTGTATAAGTGTGCTAAAATGAACACCAGCATGACCTTCGAGCTTACAAAAATATTAGGCCTATACTTAAAACCATTAATTGATACGATGCCCCAATCGTATAATGATATTCATGAATGGCTGGCGACATATTAGCTTGATATACATTATTTATAGTTATATCCAGCGGCGTATCCAGGGGGTTACGCGGGATGTTGGGGCGCACTCCACTGGAAATGTTCAATGCCAAAAAAAAAACAAAAAAAAAAACAACTTAAGTAATAAAAAATCACCTCATATCGCCTTATTTTGCGACATATTTCCCCTCCTCCCACCGCATCAGTCCACCCCCATTTCAAAATGATTAGATACGCCACAATATATATCGTCTAAAACCAAAGAAAATCATGTAAAATCATAATTGTAATATAATTTATGAAGCCTAGCATTCTAAATATTGTCCTTTAAATACATTTCAACCATCAGTTTTTTATTTCAAACAAATATTCAATAAAGTCCATACAACAACATAATATAGAGTTACATTATTTTGGACCATGGCCTACTGCTAATGTTATCCTATCTATCTCAACTATTTCCAGCAATGCTTGACGATAGGGTTCGGCTCAAAATTATGTAGGCATCCTCATTAGAGAGTGCTGAAATTGCAGTACGCCTTCGTCAGTAAGGTCAAATTCCTAAAGCAACGTGTCAACGAAAGGTATCAGTACTGTATTAAATATGACTATCATTTATTACGATCTAAAAAAAATGTAATTTATATTGTAAATTGGACCTATTATTACTATTATGATAATTATTAGTATCAGCTTTAATAGTGTCATCATTATTAGCATTAGCATACTATTTATCACTGTAGTATCAATATTAATAAAAATTTTACTATTATTATTTACATTATACATTATATTATGTATTAATTAATATTACTAATGAGTATTATTACAATATGCAATTATGTTGCTTTACAAATACAAACTGATACTATACGTATGAAACAAAGAATTCGAGACATTGCAGCATTGCAATGTCAATAATAATATAATATTACCGGTAATTGCTAGCCATCAACGTTACATTTTGAGCAAGTAGTGTTACACCTAGCTCTGTAACTTCAAAATTAATAGGATTCACGTTTGTACGAAAGTTTGTTTGCCCACCTTTAATAATAATTATGCTTGAATTGGTAATACGCTTTAAGAGCTAATTAAATGCAAAAATTTCAGTCATAATGTGACAGTTCAGTAGTGGAAAAATGTAGAAACCCGTCCCCCAATAGACTACCTAAAATTAGGCTCAATTTCTTTAACGATTGCTAACGATTTATAGCAAAATATAGTTAACTTTATTTATTGAATTTCGTGACGTAATTATATCTAAATCTCTTCATTGGAAAGTGTAGCCGTGATCTTTTATTGATCAACTCGTATTATATTTTTTCGGACTTATAAATTAGAGGTTCTTCGAATTACAAGATTAGGGAGCGTTCAAATTGCGCAACGACGTGACGCTAGAACTGATTCACTCATGCGATGCTCCTACGGTAAAATTGCGTCCTGGAATCTACGCGAACATGTGCAGATGACTTCTAGTTACGTCATTACGTCCTCATGTTCAATTTATTGTGAACATAATAATAATAATTATAATTTTTGGAAAGGTAACTTTTATACAAACTCAATAGTGCACGTTGCTACTATAAACGATATTTTCCTTCTTATGCATTAAAACCAGTGCTGTATGGTGTTTAATATTATCTGCATATTTTTTAGTCAACTCAATACAGTACAGTTTATTTAAATTGTACGCCGATGATACGTTCACTCAATCTTAAAGATGAAGTCATGATAAATTAATTATTTCCAGTCCCTTATTTTTACCTTCTTGTTTGTAAAAAAATGGTCTACTAAATTATAATGTGTTATTATGTGCTTTCTATCTCCCCAGTCCTGTTTGATCGTAAATTAGACGGTGGATGATTTCCACTGATAATAGTGTAGTCGCAATTTACAAAAAAAAAAACACTGCCCTAATTTAATAATAAAATAATAATAATATAGAGATGTGGGTTACCCACATCTCTATATTTGCACAAGTAATTAAAATTGTTTATTGAGCAGATTAATCTCACTGATAAACAATTGTAGGCCTACTACATTCGGCTAGAGCATATGAACTTTAGAGACATAATTTCATTATTTTCTTTCCAAATAAAATATTAAACGTTAACTAGCACTTCATATTGACTTTTAAATGGTGAAAATCGGCTCAGCATAACTCATTTTACCGAGTACAACATTTAAGTTAGAACATACTGCTTTTACATCTAGTTTTCCCCCACCGTTGTATTTAGGTACACGCTACAGTACACACAATGAGCCTACAACTTTGGATAGCAGAGTTCCGCACGGGTGATTCAGCCCACATCCCTATATGTCTAAGTTAACACATGAATGGTTTTATGTACCTTCTCAGGATTTTTCCCTATCCCACATCTCCATATCTAATTTTGCTGAGAGTTCCGCTTAAACAATTTCGTGTAACTTTTGGTATCTGCGCATGACATGTTTCCATTGCAGGATTTATGTGCTGAGAAGTTGAACATAATCTCGGAAGAGAGGCCGGAAGCTGACTCTCTGGATTTATTAAACAAATTTTTTTTTGCTTTTACCTGGCACCTAGCTATTGTAGTCTTGCTTGATTTTGTATTGTCTTTTTTTTTTATCTTAAAATAAATGGATGAAATAAATGTTGAGAAAATTTAAATTGTTTCTTTTGTAAATTTGCTGTCAAATTAACGGTCGGATTTATGCATCTTTTATTTGATTAGTAAATAATTGTTAGGATGATTTTTATGAAAGAATGGTGGTGGTTGTGCTATTCTTTATATTTGAAAACGGAGACCTGCATACGAAAACGGAAACCTCAAAACATAAACCATTTTTTTTAACACAAAATGAAAATAAAAAAGCCTAACCAATGCTCTAATCAAAGTTTTATAGCCTATTTTCCTTCCCTCCTGTTTTGTCTATCTATTGGACATGAGATATATATTTTTAAACATTTTTAAATTGCTATTCCTATATTTCATTCCCATTTTAATAAAAAAATAATTCCCTGTAGATTTTTCATGTTTTTAATGTAAAGTGACTATAATAAAGGATGAAATGTAACGTCAGTTACCATGGAATCACCCAAATGATTATAAAGCATATGATGCAATCAGAAAAAAAAATTGTATTGTAGTAATTGTTATAATATTTTCATGTATTAAGAAGAAAAAAAAGAAATTAATACTTTATAGTTAACTTTTCCTAATAATTATTGCTATTTCCTAATAATTGTTATTGGAGGGTAACCCAGATGTGTGCACTGTTTAATACTGGGCAGCCGGCCTATCATCACAGTACTGGGATTCATAAATTTCAAAATTTCTAATTACACACACAAAAAAAAATTAATAAATAAAAAAAATTTAAAAAACCATAAATCAGTCAAGAACTGCTTATGTAAAAAGTGTGAAAACCTACGAGATTAATCTCTAGATAAAGGCTAATCCTTTTTTTTTTCATTTAGCCATGTATCTCGACCCGCTATGAAAATTTCATCAATGGATGTGAATGAAACTTTCTAGAATGGTATGCCATAGTCAAAGGAACAATGATTGAAGGTTCTTATTGTCTTACCGGATCGCAAATAACTAAAAATGTAATAGTTGTCTAGTTGGGTGTGACGTTAGTTTCGTTAGCGACAGGTCCCCGCTTTAAATCCCGGTGGAAATCATAATATACGATTATACAAGTGCCAAGAAACCAAGAAGACAGAACCTGTGTTTGTGGTCCTGCATCTAACTAAAGTAAATAATATATCTTAGCTACAGAATTAACTAATTAAATAATCAACTAATTAACAAATTAACCAATTTACCAATTAATCAATCAACCAAACAACCAACCAATCAATCAATCAGTCATTTATTCATGCAAGCAATCAATTATTTTTTTTTAATTTATTGGTATGGCGCGCACGAAGAGCAACCCAAAATTAGGGCCTGAAACCCAAGCTAATACCTAGTATGTTACTTCTTTTTGGGATTGGGATTCACAGAAAATTCCACATGTCTTTCTTCTACGGTGTTATTATAAGAGAACCTAGGCCAATCCATTTAATAAAGTTCTTTATCCGGTTTTAGACTATCCGTTGTAAAAAAATACTCATTAGACCAGGCTATATTTGAGATAGGTGCCACTTGGGGAGGTAGAAATTCTCATATGGTTTTTCTATACCAGTTTTTTTTTTATGGGGAATCGGAATATGTGAGGTAAAAGAGGTGTAACCTGGGAACTTTCGCGTGAGGGCGCTTTTTTCAAAATGGCCGCCAAAATTCAATAAACTACATATATATGGGTAAAATAAGCACAGAAGAGGTAGGTTTGACCAACTTTTGAATATGTAATGATAGGAGTAAAGTATAACTTGGTAAAGTTATTAATGTGAAGATTTCGGGATGCAATTGAGGGCGCTTTTTAAAATGGCCGCCAACATTAAATAACAACTTAACAGCAGCTTCAATACCCTAGATAAATTTGTTTAATTTACAAAACAGGAATGTACTAACTGCTGTTGACTTTTTAAATCTAAAATAACATATTTTGGGTTTTTTCTACGCCAGATGGTAGAACCCTAGGTTGCCGACTGTCAGATTTTCGAGTTTACTTTGCCAAAACACAGTTTGCCGAATGCCAGTTTGCTGAATCAAAAACTACGAATCCCAGTTTGTTGAAACCCGGTGTGCGCTGAAACCCACTTTGTCGAAAATAAAATAAAAGCCTTAAAACATTAACCACAGCATAAAAAACTATGTATTCGTATAAGAAATAGCGGTTTATTGTAGTTAAATGAATCTTTTTTTTAATCTGTAAATCAATTAGCTATCAGCAAATAAAATTCAATATAATAGGCCTGGCAGTTAAAACGTTTTATTAGCATACCTATGATAAATACATAAATTTATTTAAAAAAATAATAATAAAGGAAATTAATAATATACAATTATACACATATGCCAATTGTGGTTCCAGAAATTTGTCGACAGGGCGTCTGACTCAAGGGGCCGACTAGAGCCTCGGTGGTCAGGGGCCTGGCACAACAATCCTGATAGGGTTTGCAGAGGGAGTATTTTAGAAGGATACGATGCTTATCCTTAATTTCATTTCATTTCTGATTTTAACTGGTAGCCATGCTTTCAAGTGTGTTTTTCTACAGCTTTGTTGTCTTCCAATATTTTCCCTTTTAATTTGTACACAAATGAAGCTCCTTCCTTTCAAATGCACAGTATGCTGTACTTTTGTAACACAGATTTGGACTGGGTTTCGGAAAACAGAGTTTTGGGAAACTAGGATTTCATGATTTCAGTGAACTGGATTTGGCATTCTGAGTTTCGGCAAACTGAGTTTCTGCAAACTGGGATTTCGGCAAACTGGTTGGATGCCTTCTTGAATACTATTGCTATCGGAAAAAATGCATCCTTGTCACTGAAAGAGATTTTGTATTAGTTCCAGATCTTCGTAGCAGCCAAGAAAAGCAGACCCGAAAGTCGTCCTGCATGCAATGCATGCTTTAAGGAATAACCAATATATAAATATCAACCGTTCCACTCTGGAGACATTGATATTGCAGTCGTTGCTACTGTATATCTTATTTTATGACAACGGAGAGAGAGTCATTTTAGACACAGACATTGGCAAATACCGAAAGTTGTTCGAATTAAGTGAACTTTCACCAGAGAAGAGATCATCCCTTTTTGGATCTAGTGCTTCTGTAGTCGAAGGCAAAGTTTTGTTGACACTTTCTGCAACTTTCAAGTTTTAGATGTTTTGTCACAAAAGATGTCTAAGGAACTTGAAGACTGCGGCATGGTGTTAAGAGGAAAAGTGTAAATCAAGCAAGATGTGAAATGTTCAATAGAGGCAACAAGATCACAGACATATCATTGCTACCACTATGTTTGCAAGCAGACCCTTGAGCACTTAAGCAAATTTAATCGCTAAGATGGAAATTAAGCAGACGTAAATGATTTGGTCAATAAAAATAGTATTCACAGCAGATGGAATGATCAAATGAAGCAAAAAATGATTGAGACAGTGATCCCATGGACGTCCAAGAACTGTTTATAATAAAGACGGAAGACTTTCAGATTGCAGTGTGATTAGCAATACATGAAGACTATTGCTCAACATAGGGTTAAAGGACAATTATGTTATAAATGAATTAATGCCTTTATACATGAAAATTATGGTAGTTATTTGTGTGGTCCTCTGGAATACCTTGTGTAGTACACAAAAATAATGAAAAACAATCGGATATTTGCAAGGAATCCTTTGTTTTTAGGATTCTGGTGATATTTTCTATTCTTCAAAACAGAAAAGGACTAATATAAGGGGGCATTTTTACTTACATTTCCAAAAGTGAGTTAGCTTACCACCCTAAAATATGTTATTTTGGGTTTAAAAATTAAACAGCAGTTATTACATTCATGTTTTGTAATTTAACCAAATTTATTTAGGGTATTGATTAAGCTGCTGTTAAGCTGTTCTTTAATTTTGGCCGCTATTTTAAAAAGCGCCCTCAATTGCCTCTCGTAGTCTTCACATTAATAACTTCGGCTAATTATACTTTACTCCTATCATTACATATTCAAAATTTGGTCAAACCTATCTCTTTTGTGCTTATTTTACCTATATATATGTAGATTATTGGATTTTGGCGGCCATTTTGAAAAAAAGCGCCCTCACGCAAAAGTTCTCAGGTTACACCTCTTTTACCTCACATATTCTGATTCCCCATAAAAAACTTGTATAGAAAGACCATATGAGAATTTCTACCTCTCCAAGTGGCACCTATCTCAATTATAGCCTGGTCTGCATGTACTTACTGAATCTGTGATTTTTACCATTATTGTTCATTAGTATACAATATATTAAATACTTAAACTTATTAAGAATGAAAGTCGGTATATTCAGTCCACTTCCAGAAAGAGTCTGTCGTTATAGATGGTTAATGCTTAAGAATGGATGAAAACACATTATCTTATTTTTCATTATTTGTTTATGCAGTTGTTTTCAGTAACAGAATTTAAAGGGCGTGATGGAAGACATTAAACCAACATTCTGTCGTCAGTTACAAACGATTGGATACTTGGGTTGCTTACGATTTAATCATTTTCGTAATCAAATGTGGGCAAAAACTAAACATTTTCAATCTATATTTTATTGAAAGTTGATAACGTATTTTGTTAAAAATTGTTAAAATCATCAGTTCAATGATTAAATTTGTTTTATTTTTTAATGGTTTTTCAGGATTTCTTATCGTATATCTTTAAAACTTAAGAAAGACACTTTATAAAATTAACACCTCTACCCTTTGAGACTAAAACTAAAACAATATAAATTAGTATATGAATAAATAATTTTCCACTCACGTTTCACAGTCAGGATAGCTTCGCATGATATACGGCCAAGAAGATTACTGGCTTGACAAGTGTAAGAACCACCGTCTTGTAAGAAGGCTTCTTGGATGGTTAAGGTGTAGGAATCATCATCTTCACAGTCTATCTTGTAGTGATGTCCGTCCGCTACTTCCTTGTCATCTTTGAACCTACAAGGCAATTTAAATTTCATATAGATATAGATCAAATAGTATCTAACAATACAAATATTATTGTTTTAAGATTGAAAATTACGAGAGATTGAAATTATAAAAAATACGGACGTACCATCTTATTTCTGGCTCAGGTACTGCACTAATTTTACACTCAAGACGGGCCGCACTGCCCTCAACGATGAGGATGTCTCTCAATTGTTTCTCAAAATATGGTTTCTGGTAGTCGGCGTACTTGTCAATGTAGTGTTCTGGAATTTGAAAGTAGAATTTTTGAATGACCAAAGGGAGAAAAGAAATCGAATGAACGAATACACGTTAAAGTGTAATTTTGACCATTACAATTTCAATTTCTTGTTTAAAATATTGCAGCTTGCCAGCTAAATTGCTTCAATATTGCATTGAAGAGAACAATAAAACCCTATTTTCCCCTTTATAAAGGTATGTCACGCTTGGTAGTAGGAGGTCCCAATGTAGAGAAAACTAACCAAAACACTGAAATTACTCCCTCAATATTGTTTTTCAGCTGGCACCGGTTTTCCGGGTAGCTCAAAAAGTGACCCTTAGCGGAGAAGGAAGTTACTGTACGATATGGTCCACGCCTTTCGGGCGCTCTGAGAGCTTCGGTATATAAAGTTTATATAAATCTAACTACATTTCATCACATTACCTTAAATTTAAAATTATCAAAATGATTCACATATTTCTTAATTATCTAAGAACTATTAAAAATTGTAACAATTCCCAATGCAAAACATTCTGGTATAAATTACTTCTTGATTTAAGCACTATAAAGATGTTATGAAATAATATATTAAATTAGTTTGTACCAATGACTTGATTGTTCATAAAGTCTTTTTCATTATTTCAATAATGGATAGAGAATACCCATTTTACCATTGCAATGTACAAGTTGATATATTGATAATATACAGTAACAGTGGCTATCACTGTACTCGAAAACTATTCAATATATAAATATATTGAAGAAAGCAATTACCGTCGACAGAAACTGTGCATTTGGTGATTGATGTTCCTTCAATATTGGTCACTCGCGCAGAGTATTCACCAGTGTCTTCTAAAGTCGTCTCTTGTATCTCCAACATGTATGAACCGTTAGTCGCACACATTTTGTAGTGCCGGCCATCCACTATCTCGTTTGAACCCTTGAACCAACTAACATGAGGTTCTGGTGGTACGTATACTGAAGCAAGAAATTTCATATGTCAAAATAACGTTACAACTTATCGCATTTTTATAATACAAAATGATGATGTTACCATAATTAGTACCAAGATGCTTAAAAATAAGTAAATTATTATTAATAATAATTATTGTAAATCAGATTATCTGTTATAAAATATCATCAATTTTATGAAGAGGCGATTACATTACTCTATAACCACTCCCATCACCATTGCTATTGTTAAGAATCTCCACATTAGTGGATTAGTGAAAATTAAGCTGAAGACGTCTAGTTTGGTTAGTAAATGTCGATGATATCATGGTGTATTGATACAGAATCATGTTGTTTTGTAAGTGAAATGACCAAGAATTATGCTGTTTTTAGTATCCTCTTATCGAAAAGAGTATTCAATGATAAGCATCAGATTGTCACCTTCAACAACCTCATCATGATTGCTATTATCAGATATGATGCACCTATATTAGAAAAAGATAGTAGATTACAGGTATACAATATACATACCCTGGAATGTTAGGGGTAAAATGAATCCTAGTCCACATTCTTGATCTTGAAGAGTAGAAATAAACTGTGGGGGCATATCAGAGTATCCAGTGGCTGCGGCGTGTAGTGATCGGCGTTTCCTCGCACGTTCTCCCAAAGGAATCCTGTGGTTATCAACAAAATTAGATTAGACAACTACGTTAAATGGCTAAGCAAACATTATAGTATGTAAAAACAAACAGAAACAAACTTATAATTATGGGATTTACAAAAAACATACGAAATTATTTTAGCAATTTCTTTATTTCTTGCATAGTTTTCTACAACATTTTGATGACTAAATGCAGCTCACGCATCTAAGTTTAATTCCAAGAATCGCGGTCTAATCGGTAGGAATCATCTCATAATATACGAGTCCCATCAAGGAAGTATATTTATTTTATACCTCCTTGGTCCCATACACATTTCTTTACGAGTTCTCAGAATTAGTTACGAGGTTACTTCACGACCTTCACAATTTCGTATGGAGTTAGATACGAGTTATATTCAAGATAGACTAAAATTAGATACGAGCGTCCCGATGAGGCCTTTTATATGGCAAACTCGTAGTAATATCATCATCGAAATAATCTAGGTATGAGAACTGTTCAATAAAATGTATATTTTTAAGCTATGATTACCGTATATTGTAGCAGTTTATTTGTATCAGTTTATTGTTTCCTTTATGTAAGTGGCAGGTCACCCGCTGTTGCATGTGAATTGAAATTTTAAAAAATATACTTACTTTTGACGCTTGAAGCCAATAGTTCTTCTTTCACCTCGGCTAGCAAGTTCCTCATCATCAAATACTAAAAAAAAAAAAAAAGTTCATCATCATCAAAAAAAAAAAAAAAAAAAAAAAAAAAAAAAAAAACACATTGAGGCAATTGGCTGTGAAAGCTTACGCCAAGCAAATTTTCATTAACGTTAAAAATGCGATACACTACAGTTTTGAGAAAAATTGATGTGTTGAGACTAACTTGACACACTCGAATAGAATTCTACAGTATATTACCGCAAAACTATACTAATGTTTATCTACCTTGCAGACCATTAAACGATTTAAAATACTGATACTATAAAGTTTAAAACGATATACCATAACGTACACCTTTTGACATAAGCGTATTCAGCATGCAACTGACACTTATGAATTCGTACATGTAAAATTATGTTTATGTGCAATGCACTTCAAAAATACAGTCCGATTATATAGGCCTGTAGGTACATACGTTCTACGTCAAGCGAGGCTGTCGACGTTGCGTGACCGTAGGAGTTGCTTGCTTTGCAAGTGTATTTGGAAATGTCATCAATATTAGCATCATGGACAACAAGAGTATATTTCCTGTCATCGTAGAACATCTTATACTTGATGCTGATTGGCAAAAGTTTCTGTCCTTTATACCTGTAAACAGAAAAATATTTAGTAAATTCGTATAGTGCAAACATTACTAATAATTGTACAAGTCATGACTTTAAATCGGGAAATTGATACTTACCAAAGTATAAGCGGTTCTGTAAGCGCCAAAACTTCGCATTCGAAACGACCATTACTGGCTTCAATTGCTGTAGTATCGACAAGTGGTTTGACAAACCGTGGAGCGGCGTCTCTTACACCTAATGAGAATATAAAGTGCATACCAGTTTACACAAATTTACATGGTTCGTATATTTTGCATGTTCTTTACAGATAAATAAGAAAGACAGACCAAAACTATTTATATGCCTATATAATTTATCGGAATTGAATCCATTTTGAGTTCTTACATGTTTCACGTATGTGGTTCCTTTATAATTCTCATAACTTAGAAATATTAGGCCCTACGTTAGGGTGGTGTGTTAAGCCAATGTGCATTTTCAGAAACGTGAGACAGAATTATATCGACTCACCCATAAATACGATTCTTTCGTTCAAAGCTTGGCCTCTAAATGTCTTGTGAACCTCACGCAGGGCACCAGTATGTGCTAATCGACCAATAGCCAACGATGTTTGTCCAGCACCCTAAAAAATATGACCACAGTTACAACGACATCATAAATAAACAACAAATCAACTACGATATCGTTGTTTATATTTTTCTAGAATAAAATACCAAAAAATGAAGCATTAAGATGGCATTTTGTGTCAAATACATTAAAAAATCATATAAGTATATGTAACCCACGTCTGGTTTCCTCCTATCTTGGAATGCTTTCAAGCGACTAGAGTCGATGCGGCGTGCTCGTCGGCGAGCTAAGATATCGGTATCCATCGTCAGCCACGGATGACGTAATGCTTCTTGTATTGTCATACGTTTACTAAAATATACAAAAATGAATTACGTTTAACGAATGATATACAACATAAGATATTATTGTATTGAGTGACTTACAGTACAGATGTGCCGTGTATAGAAAAACAGAATTCTCACTCTTTGTCTTTGACTAAAATCTTCTCAATCCAGTCAAGACCCTCATCAGAGACATAATCAAAGCACTCGTCATCAAATTCCCAGTCACCTTTAGCTACATTCTTCAAAGTTTCTCGATCAGTTTCACCCATAAATGGTGACAAGCCAGACAACCTTAAGTAAATAATGTGAAATTGTGTTAAAAGGACTCAATAGAGATGAGACAGCCAAATCAGTATTATTATAAACAATAAATAACACAACAGCGTTGTTACTATTTACTTTTCATTTTCAATATAGCTGCTAATAATAATAATCATCAAAATTGATGCCTGTGGAACATACTCCACAACTGTCGCTGCTGAGTCAGCGCATAATTGACACAATGCCTACTCGGTACCAAATTATACACCTGGGTGGAGAGAGACATGTGGATAAAGTGTCTTAAGTTTTGACAAAATCTATATTATAATACAAATTTTATATCAATTCGACTAATACTCATTCGATTTCAAAAATGCATTTGTAAAGTCATTCTATTATTTGATTGTCTTGGGCAGTTTGTAGGCTATGTATAAACTGAGAGTTCTAATCCAGGTTATAGTTTAAGTGAATTACAAAAGCATTCAATGATTTTCATCTCCACTTACATTACGTAAGCAAGGACGCCAAGGGACCAGAGGTCTGTCGGAAGTCCAATTGGCTCATGGTTGACTACTTCAGGTGCAACAAACTCTGGGGTGCCAAACATCATTCTTATAGGTTCGTTAGGATCCAATTCATGAGCAAGTCCAAAGTCAATAATCTTTATATCCTCGCTCGTTCGCGTCTTAAACAATATGTTTTCAGGCTGAAAAACAAACAGTAAAGTTAGCACGAGTGTTTATGTCATCTCCTAATGTTAAAGATAATAGGCCTACAGGTAGTAAAACTATTCTATTTTTTAAAATGGCTATTCAATGTAAGATAATTACTGGCACACCATAATCGTTCATAACGTTTACCTTTATGTCCAGATGGAGCACGTGCCTTTCATGCATATGCCTGATGCCTTCACAAACTTGGCGCATATAATGAACCACTTCAGGTTCTGTCAAGATGTAGTTGTCGTCAATTAACCTTTCAAACAATTCGCCTCCAGAAAGGCTACATATGAGAAATATAGAGCATAAGAAAATTCATATGATCATAACATGGGTTTTCACTATAGAGACAATTAACATTGGGTAAAAAACAGTTATGCGGGAAGACATAGACACGGACAACACCGACCTTAAAAAAGGTCAAGCTGCATAATATTTTACGAAAAGGTTTGTATGATCATTGCTGATAAATAATCAAGCGATAGGTTGCAACAAATTTTCATTTTAAAACAAATGTTTTTTATCAAAATGGAAACGATTCCCTTTGTGTTTCAGCTGGAGAGGGACAATATTCATATTTCAATAGAGCACCGTCTTTCGAAAAAGATCTTTTTGTCGTTGGTAATGTGTGTAATAACATCCATGTGGAAGTTAATAAACGGGGAAGAAAAACTGTAGAAAACTGCCCTCCGGTGTGTTACCCAATTCAATACCAGAAGAACCCCACTGAAAATATATTTGGACTTTCGACAGTTATAAATTAAAACCAATCTACTTTATGAAACTAGCAATTGTCGATTTATTCACAGGTAAAGTAATAAGACTTACAATTCAACAATCATGACAATCTCTTCCTCATTCTCAAAGACGTCATGGAGCTGAAGAAGTCCACTATGATGGAGCTTCAACATGATGTTTATCTCACGCATTACTACTTCGCGTTCCTTTCCATGGCAACGGATGAATTTAGCTGCCCATGTTTTACCATTTGCTTTTTCAATTGCACGGTAGACAATACCATAGGAACCTCTGAATACCAAAAGAGCATAAGAAAGTTTGTTTCATCATATTGTTGTTTGTTTGTACTATTGTATGTATTGATATATATATATATATATATATATATTTACCTCCTCAGCGGCTGTCTCTTATACACATCTAGATGTATATATATACGTACACACACACACATATATATATATTTATATATATCAATGTTGTATGTATATCTATATGTATATAGATTTCAAAAAGTTAATTAATTTTCTTCAACTTACCTTCCAATCTCTTCACATATTTCATAGTAATCGTAAACTGATCCCGTCTTTCTTTTGAAGTCGTATTTTGATGGTATATGAGAGGTATCCACTGTCATGGCAAATTGTAAAAATGTAAGTAAATTCATACCAAAACTACTTTTTTAACACATTTAACTATATTTTGTCTAAATAAACGATCGCAAAATACATAAATGAGAGTGCTGTGGTTGCAGTGCAGTTTGTAAAGATCATGGGGACAGAAAACCCAGTATTATGTAAGGGACTCCCTAGGTATGTAGAAGCATTATGTTTATCTAGTTTTTTTTTATCATGCTTTGTATGCTATTTTACTTACCGACGGAATCGTAGTATTTTCTCTTGGCTTCAATATCTTCAAACTGAGGACGATCCCTGTCAGATGCTGCAAGATAATTGGATATTAGTAGCTATTACAATGACAATAATTTGTTTTTTCTTCTATCCCATATATTTTTCCTTCTATTCATCTTCAAATGTTTTTTTCGCCAAGAACAGACCGCATATCAAAGATGTGCATATTGAAATAATAACGGGTAATTACAATTCTATGCTTACGCAATTTGCGTTTTCTAAAGCGCTTCAAACTAGCTACGTTAAACGCCATAAAATGCATTACGCAATGTAAAAGAACTAACACTGCATTGACCTTGCTTTGGTGTAACACTCTACATCGCCCTCGCTATTACCATTGTAGTCCAAGTTCTACTTTCACTGACGTCGAGTTGGTTTTCATGTTGTTTTTTTACTTCATAATTTGTATTGATTGTTATTTATTTTACAATTTTTCCTTCTTTCTTTCCAAATTTTCTTGTACAATTAGTTCTCATGGCAATGAGGAAAACTCTATGTTCTGCTTTTTTAATAAGTTTAACTATGCATGTTATCTTTACTACTATGGTAAATTTTGAGTAATAATAAACAACATAAAATGTTGTTTTTTCAATTGTTCATATAACAATAATAAGCATACACAATCACTTCAATTATAAACGAATATGCATCAGAATGCTTACGTTTTGTTTTGATGATAGCCGTGGCAGTGCAAGGCTCACTCGGACCGTAGTTATTAAGAGCTGTTACTCTGAACTTGTATTCGGTATTTGATTTGAGCCCAACTACAGTCAGGAAACAGTTTCTACTTGCTAGAACCCGTGTCCAGGCAGTATGGCCGATTTCCTGTTTTTCTATCATATAGCTAGTGACTGTGTTTCCGCCGTCATAGAATGGTGGTTGCCAATAAAGACGCACTGCGTCAGTGGAGATATCTGTTACCTCAAGGTTCCGAGGTGGATCAGGATGTCCTTCACAGAAAACATAAATTAACATGTGCAATAAACGGTTTTCTTATAAATTTTATTTAATATTTTCACGAAGAGACATAAATTTCAATTTCGACCAAAACAGCGTTTTGAGAAAAACGTGTTTAAAGTGGACTAGTTCATAAAACCGCAAATTTCATTATCAAGATATCGACATTATCAAAGCATTAAACAATTTAAATGTTTAATTTAGTTTTCTTTTCTTAACTTTAATTAACCTGTTAATTAGCGCGAACTGTTTGTGTCTGTTCGTGAAAACGATAAGAATAAACACAGCATATGTTGTTTACACGTGGAGTGAAGCTTGTGTCTATTCGTGAAAAAGACACTCTCATTTTACGCGCTGTGCGCGCTCTGTTGTTAGTCAAAATCTGTATTTTAGTCTATGTTTAACTATTGTAGTGAAGGGTGATAACAGGCCTACAAACTCGGCTTTTACTGATTAAAGCTACGTTCACATCAAGCCCGGATTCCGGTCCGGAGTCCGGAGAAAAAATCGTGAGAAATGGCTTTAGTGGTAAATAATAGAAGCGTTCACATCTACACAGTCCGATTTTTCCCCCGGACTCCGGATTCGGAGCAATGGATCAGAAAGCCATTGGAAACGTGAATCCGAACGGATTTTTATTTCTGACCAATCAGCGACAAGCGTGAATGACCCCAACGCTAGTTCTGAACTGAAGAAACAGCTCGAAAAAAGTCAGCGCGAGAAAAGATACTGTGTGCCGTGCCGGGATTTGTTTTTGCTTTTTAATTTTATGCTGTATTTTAGGCGTAACTTGCATCACACATCAAACAACATATTCACTATAAAAGATAAGTATATTTCTAGTTTTCTTATTAAAAATAAAGTTAAATGAACTTCTCTCAGCTCTCTACTCTAGTCTAGGCCATGTAGGCCTAGTCTAGAGTCTGAGAGAGCGTTTATCCTGCCCAGCATAGGGCCCGGGGCCCTACTAGACTAGCTTAGCTAGTAAAAAAACACGACAGCAGCAGTTGCTTGCCAAGTTGCGCATTTCCTGCAGACAGACCCCACGGCACTAGCCTAGGCTTCATTCCTAGTGATAAGAGAGGGGTGAGGTGAGGGCCTATCGTCTGTCTGTGGGGCCGGAACACGCACGCACGGCCTTTTTTTAATCAATACATATTTATTCAACATATATTTTTATTTCAAATGGTTGTTTTTCCATCGTTTTTTCCCTTGAAAAGCTCAGGATTTCTTGCAAATATGTTTACTGGTACAACAAAAACATACTTTTTTTAAAATATAAATTTGATTGCATTATGACTTTTTATATGTGTCCCTACCATTGATTTACTTAAAAAAAAAAAAAAAAAAAAAACCCTCCCTCATCAGTCTTTCTTTGATACTTTGATTTGATAGGGTGATAAACAAATTATTTTTTTATGGGGCCTAACCTGGCATATAAACACTACAACAAGGATACCAGCCGGGAAAAAATGATGTGTGGGAG